AACAGCGGATAATCCTAGAACGAGGTGGGCGCGGTCCACAGGGAAAGCCGCGACACGATCCGTGTGGAAAAGGATGAAAAGCACGCGCCGAGGCCATAGAACGTTCCGTAATTCACGTCACAGGCCCGGCGTCCAGGTCCAGGTGAAATGGTATTCACGGACGGTTAATTTATTTCGCGATCGTCCCGGAATTTATTTCGGTCGATGGCTCGAGATTTCTGAAATAAATCACAAACCGAGTTTATTATTCCTTGGAACGTGTCCGGCGATATTAAAGGAGCTTGTAGATCTCGAAAGGGCGTAGGTGGAATGGCGAGTTCTTGGAGGTTCCAAGCGTTCGTAGAAAGATCGACGATCCTTGTATCGGAATAATTGTAACTACAAAACGACGTTTTTCTAACTGACGTTGCAATTTGCACGTATCGTTTGTTCGAAATATCGTAGATTCGACGAAAATAATTTTTACGTGTTCGCCATATGAATTACGTTTATACGAATCGTTTATATGAATCGCGATAAAACACTAACTTCCACTTGTCGAAAAATTGAAAAAAAAGAAAGAAAAAAATAGAAAAGAGCGTAAATGGTAGTACGTGATATGTTTGATGGACGATCGAACGATATTGAGAGGAGGAATTCGCGAGGACGCGGTCACGCGAGACGATTTCCTACGTTTGATCAGGTAATCGATGAGAGACACGGTGGATGCGGTTAACGGGTGTTTGCGTTTACTTGCAGAGGCGGGAAGTTCATCACGGTGGGCGACAGAATTAGGTTGCCCGACGACGTGACGATGGGATACATTATCGAGTATCTGCTGAAAAAGCAGCTCACAGTCGTCGAGCAGTTCCATTCTCATCTGGAACCGATGAAGTTCCTCAACAAGGACACCTTTGGCGAGCAGGTAAGTGAAACGTTCCAATGACTGAATTTTATTCCCTAGAATTATAGAACTCTCTTTTTAGAATCATACTATCGTCTAATAAGTACAGTAGATGTTATTGCGATGTTAATATAAATTGCGTGCTTCCCACTGCTTTTATTTTTCAATTAAACAATTCGTTTTAAACCTGTTAATTCATTCGACTTTGTCGGAAATCCTACGACTTTGTCGGGAATTCGTGTGATTTCACATTTTTTCAATTCTATTCCTTCTCTGTACTTTCTTTCTCAAACTCTCACAGTTGCAGAGTTCTATCTTCAATTTTACACGATACGGTTTCTACGCAATGTGACAAATAAATACGCTGCTAGTCGAAACTGTTATAGTTGATATTACGTTTCTCGCGCACAGACAGCAGAAGGCGACGAAATTATATTTCTGCAAATTTCTTTTTCGAACTCTCACAGTTGCAGAGTTCTATCTTCAATTTTACACGATACGGTTTCTACGCAATGTGACAAATAAATACGCTGCTAGTCGAAACTGTTATAGTTGATATTACGTTTCTCGCGCACAGACAGCAGAAGGCGACGAAATTATATTTCTGCAAATTTCTTTTTCGAACTCTCACAGTTGCAGAGTTCTATCTTCAATTTTACACGATACGGTTTCTACGCAATGTGACAAATAAATACGCTGCTAGTCGAAACTGTTATAGTTGATATTACGTTTCTCGCGCACAGACAGCAGAAGGCGACGAAATTATATTTCTGCAAATTTCTTTTTCGAACTCTCACAGTTGCAGAGTTCTATCTTCAATTTTACACGATACGGTTTCTACGCAATGTGACAAATAAATACGCTGCTGGTCGAAACTGTTATAGCTGATATTACGTTTCTCGCGCACAGACAGCAGAAGGCGACGAAATTATATTTCTGCAAAATTCCACGGATTCGCTTCTGTCTGACCGCGCTGAAGTCCTTAAATACTTGGTTCCGCGTTGAAAATGGTAATTCGCGGCGCGCTCGTCGAAGCGAGTACCGTTCGCGCTCAATCTCGGCTGCGTTCCACCGGCGGTGATTAATTGATCCGGTACGAGGCGGGGGATTAAAAAAAAGCCACGGCAGAGGGGCACAAGAGGGGAATTAAGATCGTACGGGTCGCAGTGTGAAGTCTAATCGCGGGTAATGGAATAATCCCCGCGATGAATCACCATGGCTGCTGCTGCTGTTGCCTCTTTCCTCGCTCGTACGCGAACAATGACCAATTGATTCGATCGTCGCGTTCTCCGTTCTTCC